GGTAAGAACAGTACCGGTCCCATTCAATGGCATTCTGAACCTTCGTATGAGAAGAATATCTGTCACAGTATATCCGGATACTGCGAGGCATCCTTGAGGCAATGACTGCGCCTCCAAATCTCCTAGCATCTACGACTAAGGAAGGAGAGGCCACACCCGTCTAAGTTTCCGCCCGACTCGCTTGAATTTTTCTGGGTCAATCTGGTGTCGCAAAGCAACCTCGTGCAGTTTGGAATCTTTTCCAGGATTCACAACCTCGCGAACCGAGCCACAGCGAGGAGCTTTGCAAAGAATCGCAGCCGTGCGATAGAAGCCCCAACGCAGAGTGTATTTGCCTAGCATGTACGCGTACACCAAGCTATGCCGGGATGCAACAAAGGGGGGTATTTTTCTGACGTTAAAGCCGTCGTAATTGGCCCGTATTATAGCGAAAAACACGTCAGACGTCTCGCTGAGCTTGTGCAAGGATGTTTTTGCGCTTCGTCGCTCTCGAAGTTCTTCGCGAAGACGATCTTTGTACCAAGATGGAGGTGACTGACGTTGTAGACCTAGCATCCTGTGCCACCGTCGAAGCAGCGAATTGAGTGGGCGTAGCATTTTGCGTTTGGATCCTCGTCGCGCGGCGGTGAAGAATAAGTTATATAAAGCGCCAGACGCCCAGTTAACGCCCATTTTATTTTTGCCGAACCTTTTGGTTTGGCTTCTGTATCTGAACGTTCAACTCGACTTTATCTCCATTTAGCTATACCTTCCTTATGGATCTATCTGTATGCACTGCCATGTCATGCCTTTGTGATTCTGCGCGCTTACTTTCTGCTCACACCCTTCATCATCTTCGTTACTTGCGAAGTGACCCCAACTAAAAAAGCGAAAAAGGCATCAGGATCAAGTGGGGTTTCCACCTCCAGCTCTGCCGCTACACTTTTGAGACCAACTGCACAGGAGTAATTAATTTCTTTTGTCGGGCGCAATGCTAGCGAATTATGGTCTTCGACATCATGAGGCATATGAGTATCTATCAGAGTACACAGGGACTAGAGCTGAAAAAGTTTGGTTAAACCTATTCTAGATGTCGTAAATAATTTACCAAAATGATCACTCAGAGTTTTAAACCAAAGCGCAGGATTTTGGAATGAATCTATTCTCAAACGTTCTCTTTCTTCTTAGTAAATCTATTACTTTCTGCTGAAACTTGTCGAAGTCAGCTCAAAAACAAGCACCGTACAACTCACTCTTCTTAGACTTCGCCGGGGTGGTTTCTGCCACACCAACTTTTTCGAAGAAGCTCTCACTTTGCAAAACTGTCTTGTTACCTGCTTTTCCAATCGGTTCGGCCCTTGCCGCTCGCGGCCACCCCCCCAGTCATATGTAAGTACATCCAACAATGTTGAAACAAAATAAGTAGAAGAGCTGTTATATAAATTAGATTTAGCAATGTACAATAAAAATCCTTCGATATATGACAAAGAAACCGCGAGTTTCTATCTATTTCGTATTTATTCTTTCTGATTGGTGGTAAATCGGATTTCCGGAGATCTTGGTGGTCGCGTCTCGTCTTGTTCATCATGTTCATCATGGTCATTGCAGTCTTCATTTAACGCCAAAAGTCGATTACGTTCCTCCAAAGACTCGATCGCGTCTTCCGCTGCTTCAATCATTTTTCGTAGAGCCTCTATGATTCATGGGAATAAACATTCAAGGCGATCAGTACAACGGCAGGGAAGCATAAAAAATTATTGACCCACTCTCGATACTCAACGTAAACAACGTCTGCCTCGCGTCCGCGTCCTGTAGAATCTCCGTTTGGATCCTTTCCCCAAATTTAGACGCGCCAGCGATATCGTCCATCAACTTCCTCAAGCTGGGCGGTACTTCTTGTCCATTGGAGGGTTCACCATTATGACCGACACTCCCCGGTCCGACAAAATACTGCAAGTGCTCGGAGAAGAGGTGTGCATGAGCAAGGATCCTCCGCGGTAACTGCTCTAACTTCCTGTCAACTTGGCGTATGGTATGTGGCAAGTTTGCGAATCCGCCACCTTTGGCAGTGTGTATGTGTGTATCTGATTTAGAATGTGATTGTGAACAAGGTAAAGAGTCGGAGTTGGCCTCTTTCTGGGTAAACTTTGGTATCTGCGCAGAGGGTGAGCGACGAGGTGACAGAGTCAGAGGTACATACCGCGGGAGGCAAAACCATGGACTGATTTTGCGATTTCGTCAGTGCCTTCGCTTTTTCTCTTGCCTTGTACCTGGTAACCGCACGATCAAAGATTTTCGTCGACTGAAGAACATTCTTGTAGCGAGAAGTGTAGGCCTCTGCGACGACTGAAACGAGAAGAGCGTGATTCAGCAATCGCACAATACAACTATTATACATACTCACCTGAGATCAGGATTGTCATGGTCGCCACACCTAAAAGAGCCCAACCAACGAAGATAGATCGCCCGGCTGGTGTCTTTGGAGAGTAATCACCAAATCCGATGGTTGTGAATGCAATCACACCTGCAAGAAGGGGTTTGAATGCATTGGTGACAATAGGAGAAGTGTCCTACAGAAATACAGCGCAATTCCAAAACTCCAACCTTCTGTTACCATGAAAACTCCAGAACCTACCTAAAGGTGAGTATAAGCGAACATTATCCGGAAGAATGGGTGTTCACGATGCGTACCAGCCAGAAAACCAAGAACAGGGTCCAGACAACGATCAGCCTAGCGTAGAAAGCCTTGACCTCCTCTCTCTCCATCGCGTGGCGGTAAGCCTCATACTGTTGCGAGATGGTCTTTTCCTCCTTGATCGAAGACGAAGCTTTCAAAAGCAGACCGCCGTTAGCAGTATCTGCCTTCATTGGCTTAGATGAAGACCTATTGTCAGACCCGTGTAAAGTGCCCGGCCTGTTTATAGCGAGCGCAAATCCACCTAGCATGGCTATCATCCTTCCCAGACGAGCATGGGTAAGCGGAATGTCATCTGTATTGTGACTGAGATTCTTCTGAACATTCTGTAAACGAGACATCCACGCGTCGAGTCGGGAAGTCAGATTGGTGTCGGAAATTTGTCGCGACATCCGTGCGGAGGCAGACGCAGTACTCGAGAAGGAGGTCGAACGAGAGTCTTCCCCTCCTCGGGATGGATGTTTTTCTGCCCACCTTTTCGCAAAACCTGGAGGTAATAGTTCACTTAAGGGTACGCCTGCTTCCATCGCCGCGCTCTCCAAAGCCGATCCTTCCAAAGCTTCCAGATTCAGATGCATCCCTTTCGGATGCGCAACTGCTCCTAATCCTTTCCACTTTGACCTCCATGTCCATTGAGGAAAGGTCCTGTCAGCGAAAAGAAGAACCCAATGGCGAACAAAGCCTGATACCCCTGAGGTGTCACTGGTATCCCGAACCCAAATTGGATGTTCCTTCTCCCTAAGTCGCCATTCCACTGCCTCACGCCATCGTCGCGCGACTCGTTTACGCCAATGAAGGTTTTTCCTCTTAACCCGTGCGGCGTGAACACGTTTGCGGTATCCTACTTCGAGAGCCTCGAGTACGGTTTCTCGGGTCAGGCTTACGGCTAGTGCGAGATTGATGATGCCAAAGATGGCATAAAAACAGACGAAAACCTTAGAACCAGTTGTGGTAGGAGGCACATCCCCGAAACCTGAAATGATGGCATAATCAACACAGGCGATATGATAAACTTTGAGTAACGCACCAATAGCCTCGATGGAGCATATTGTAAAGTACAACGCATCGATAAAATTCAGTTCCAGAAGAATACCCTCGATCAACGCGCCGAATGCGATGTAAACCAGGAGAATGATGACCATGATCACTAGCGAACGTTGTTTGCGTGTTAAACCACTGCCTAATGGTGAGACTTAGAAAACCGGAATCTCGAAACATGATATTTATGAGCGTACCGCTGCTTGCGAAGTCAGGAGTCCGGATAAAGTCAGTGATGAGGCTGGCATTGGTGAACGTAGATGCGATAGTGGAACATAAAGTCATCCAGAATGATTCTCCATAGGTGAACCCGTCATCAAAACGATTCTCTACACCAAAGGTAGTAACTGCAATGATATTGATGAGATCTACAAGGTGAGTTCGTTGAGTGACATAGGTAGCGGAGAAACTCATGGGAAAGCTCACCATGCAAAGTAAGAAATGTAACACACAAGATCGTCATTAACTTCACGTTCTTTTCCAGAAACCTAACTATTAACGCTACATTTGCCACCAAGGCACACCCCATGCTAATTCCCAACGCAACATCCAGTAAGATTGGATTGGGCCTCTTCTCCACTGTCTGATTGTTGACGGTTCGGATGTACCAGTTGCCGGTCAAGCCGGGAATTTCGAGGAGGATAGAGAACGGGATGATGACAGCAGAAAAGATTGGAGTATAGCGGTAATTTGGAATCGATGACGAACCAGATTCATTTTGAAGGTCTGGTGGGTAGAGAAATGCTTTAAGCTTGATCCACCATGTTGGAGGGCCGGATCTTGGTCGATGTCGCAAATCCATAGATGCGGTTGAGAAGAGCGAAAGACCTGAGAATGATCCTCGGTGGTGAAGAGAGCTGTCGGCGACAGCTGAAATTGGTTCGAGCTGTTCATCGTCGTCCTCTTCAACATCTTCAACATGTTCTTCTTCTAATTCGAGGTCGGCATCGTCAATAACGAGCTCGTCTGGCGATGATCCACCTTCAGAAGAGGGTACTCCGTCATGATCCCTGTTGTCTTCAGGACCTTTTTCAATATCTCGATTCAAGTTGAATTTTTCCGAGTCGATAGCATATGCATGGTTTTTGGGAGGGATTTTATTCAAAAAGCCGGACATGGACCGGATAGATTGAGCATAAGGGAAGTGAAAGCGCTGAGGATAGGATGCACTTTACGGTAAAGTTGGAGCTCAAGAGCTATTTGGAGGCATACTATTATCCGATAAAATGACGAAGCTTGTCAGGGGTAAAAATGCGTGATACCGTGGAAACAAGGCCCACAAAAAGAACTGCCCCAGAGAGGCTCGAACTCTCGACCTTCCGATTCAATCAACGACGTTAACAGTCGGACGCTGTAACCAACTCAGCCATGGGGCACATAGGATAGGATTACATATAATTAGATAAAATGATTGAGAGTCTCATGGCAACTGTACAGTTAATTCTACTTCCAACTTCCTTGCATACTTACGAGTGCTACTTTTTCAATGGGGGGTATCGTCGGCGTAGTGCTTTTAAAGGTTGTTCTAGAAAAACCACGGTCCCACTATAAGGTTAGGAATGTCAGTCCACGTGTTCATATGAAAGTCAGGAATTCAACTTACTCTTTCCAAGCGTAGGTAACTGCAAACAACTCTGATGTATGAGATTCAACGCTTTCACCGCGTTCTCCCCGTCAATAACGCATGAAATATTTATCTCGCTCGCGCCCTGGCTAATCATCTCAATGTTCACGTTGCCGTTCCCAAGTGTGGTGAACATTCGGCCTGCAATTCCAACGAGGTGCCTCATTTCTCGCCCAACGAGTGAGAGGATGGCCATGTTTGGATGGACAGAGACCTTCAACACGACGATAAACAAAACCGGACTGAGACAAAGACACTACTCACCGACCCACTCTTTTCCAATGCGGTGATCAAGCGTTTGAATATTTTCTGAGCTAAAGCATCCTCAATCGCCATACTCACATGCACCTCACTCGTGCTGATTAAATCCACCACCACTCCAAACTGATCTAGTGTTCCAAAGATACCCGCCAGGAACCCATGCGATACGCTCTTTCGATTCGAATTAACGTTGATCACAATGATGCGCTCCTTGATCGTCACAGCTGTAGGAAACTTTTTATTTGGATAATGCCCGCCCTGATTGTGACTACGGTGCTGCACAGCCTGCTGTGCCATTTCGTGTAGTTGCGACTGGGTTATTGGCTCTGGAATGGCGCTGTTGTTTGCATCCAACTCTTGAGACACCTGAGAGACGTCTGGACCCTGGTCAGGATCTGGGAATATAACAGTCCCACTGCCAGTCGGGTTCTCTACATTTTTGATACGAATGGGTATTTTGCAGCGGATAGCCTGGCGCGGAAGTTATTTGAGTCGAATACACAAGGGGTACGCAAACAATTGACCATACCTGCTCCATAGTGAATGGGTGCACAACCTCGCTCCCGTAATACGTCAATTCAGCAGCTTCATCAGGCGAGATGATAGGTAAAAGTCTAGCAGTCGGGACTTTACGCGGGTCGGCAGTGAATATACCATCAACCTCTTTCCAAATTTGTAGCTCAGTAGCTTCGAGGCCGACAGAAAGGAGTGCCGACAAAAGATCCGTGTAACCACGTCCGACCTGCGTCAGTAGGGAGCCAGGTATGGGTCCAAAGAAGCCTAGAGCGTGAACATCAGTGAAAAATGAGCTAACTGAATCAAGTGTGATGGTCATACCAGTGACTACAGGAACTCTTCTACCACATTGTTTGACGCGTTCTCCGACAGCTTGTGCGACTTTATCATAAAAGGTCTGGTCTAATGTGTCATTTCCGGATACTTCGTCCTCCACGTCAGGGACTACATCTTCGAGTGACACGTATTCAGCATCAATACCCTATTGATGATCATGAAGCGACCTTAAGCCGACTTGTACGTGGAGAACGGAATAAGGTGCGCACCTGATCCCTCAATACAGCCGTCATTAATTTGCACGCCAACTTTTCACCTAAACCAATGATATTGTCCTTTGATCGTGCAGATACCTCGTTGATAACTTGGGAAGCGAACAAGAAACTGCGTAACCAGTCACAGTCTTTATCCACTTCCTCCTCGAGTTCCTTCCTGATGTCAGGATCAGAGATAAAGTCTGCAGCAGCCTTGAGATGCTCCTGACGAATCATATCGACAGTGACATTGAAAGAGGGTAGAGCCTGTCCACGTTGCGGGACGGTGAGCGGCGTCAAGGACATAAGAGAGGCATCCTCCGCAGAAGAAGACCGGCTTCGTCGTGGAGTCTCTGGTGGAGAGTGGGGCATGTCTTTGATTTGGCCAAATAAGCCAAAGTAGGGGCTCATAGTGCCGTCAGGGGAATTGAGGACCGACGTTGCGGGCTTGGGGCGCCTTACCAAAGCTTCAGAAGCTGCCCGCAGTAGTAGATTTGTAGTACCAAGAGCTTTTGAAGTACCAGAGCGTGCTGAACACACCACAGCAACCTTGTTAGAATCTATGTATTTCCTGGCTATACGATCAGCGATCAGCCTTGACTGGAGGGTGTACTCAAACGCACGCAACGATTTCTTTAGCAATCTGGACTGGGAATTTTCCTACGCTGGTACCGCCGAACTTTTGTACAAGCCATTTTGTGTCTGGATCTATACTGTTCTGATGCAGATTAGGCGGTGTCTTTGGCGGTGTGAAAGAGCGGCCAGAGGAAGAAGAGCATGATGATGAGGGCGATGGTGGAGTTGACATGGCGAAAATGGTGTTACAATCAAGAATTTACAAGATGAACAAAAGCAAGGCACTTATTAGACTTTATAAGGCATTGGGACTGGAGCTGAGTCGAGCACTCCGGACTCGGAGTCATAATCTTGAAAAAAATCGTCGCACGTGGCAAACATTGTTCCGGACCCCGGCACGAAATTTCTCAGTTAATTTTTCTGAGTCTCTTAGTCCATCTCTCAGCAACCTTAGAGTGCAGAGCGTAGGAGGCTGTAGTAAATATTCACCATGCTTTTTCGTAACTGGATGTACTAGACCTGTACTCCTGAGTATATCCGGATATCCCGACGGCTCATATTTAATTGGACGGTTGGACTTGTGCCTATCATCATTCAATTTCAACGTTCTTAAGGCTAGTCCCTAGTATGTCCACTGAACTCCTTCTGTTGCTTCTGAGGCTGAGCAGAGTATCGAAACTCGAGGAGAGACAAGCGTTATCAATGTTCAAGTGGCCAAAAATAATCCCAGCAATGTTCGAACAATTTTTCCTGTAGTACACGATAGCAAAAATTTCTCAATCAAAGCTATGAGCGGAAACGATGCCACTCACAACTTCGGCCTTCCTTGTCCCAGGTTTCACAGCCACGACACCAGGATACCCAAAATCAAAGAGTTGTGCATCAATTATACGACCTTGAGAGTTGAAGAAGATGTGGACGTTTCCTATGTTGAGGTCCCTGCGAACGAAACCCAAAACAATCAATGATGCTTTTCAATAAACAGAGAAATACATTCATACATATAAATAAATCCGTGCTTGGCCCAAATGTCCATGACTTCGGCTTTGACCAGCGGTTCGACGGCTGCTATCATCCGGTTTCTTCCTTCCTTGCTACCATTCTTCCACTCTGGGGTCCCTGTTATCGGCTCCCCACCAACTCTCTTCATGAGAATCGCAGGACGATTTGAATTTTGCTTGACCGTCTTTATCTTTCCAGTTCGCGGGTCTTTCACCGAATTGACCGTTTTGAATGACACGAAGCCGGAATTAACGTATAATCCCAGATCATCGAGAGTCATGGCTTCGCCGTAGACCCCGTCGTCTACGGGATGCGAGAGCACTTTGATCACCAGGCTGGGTCTGGATCTACCATTGTACGCGAACACCCCAACGTTGTTGCGGCCTACTTTTTCATCCTGATTATCAACAGCCAGATCTTTACCAAGATATCGGGTGAAATCTCCGCCTTCTAGACAGTAATGAACCGTTTTCAGTCGTGGAGTGGAGTGAGCTTTCGTTGCAACGGAACTCACTGAAGTATTTAGCTTTATCATGACGAGAGATTATGGCAGGATAAAAATCAGTCATCCAACTTCGCTAGGACATTTTCAGCACTCAAATTCAACGAAGCATTCAATGAGAGACGATATGCATACGAAAAGGTAGTAAGGCTTCTGACCCCAAACAGCAGCGACCGTGGCTGGTTGGCCATGATTCGAGACGGGATTAGCATGCGCAAATTCTGGACTGCGTGTAACATCATAGATGTTGGGACCAAAACCCCCTGGTGCTGGAGCTGCACATGCAGTCGGAAACGGAGAGAGAAGGTAGAGAGACCAAAAAGTGAAGAGGGAGAAGCCTAGCGTTGAAATTTCTTTGAACATATTGACCGTACTAAGGTTAGCAAGATGGATCTCTGGCCAGCAGAGTTCCAACAACTTCAGGATGAAGAAAAGTAGAAAGGAAAGAAGCAGCAATCGTGGACTCCGATGGATTAAATAACGCATATATTCGCCGTCGGAGCGACTAGATTGAAAGTCGGAAGCGACCGACTTACTCAGCATTGTGCACAAGATTCCCCGAAGGTCGAGTCAAGTAGCAAGTAATATTATCATGTCCGAAGTAGCTTATAGTTGTATACGACATCACGGAATCCATCTGCCTTCCTGGTAGACAGTCTTCCCTAGAGGAATTATAATTGTATGCTATAAATATTAAATTTGATTCATAAACAAGTTGTGGAAAATAATTTCCTTCTACTTACATAGATTTTTTTGCGAGAACCTTCCTTAGGGTCAGTCCTACGAAAAATCTCGGGCGGATATATCGCGCCAAGAAATATCGAAATTTCTATATATGGTAATCAGAAAATTTTTCAATGACATCAGTGAGATGCCGCGTGATGCGAGCTCCAGCGCGCTGGCGGCACAAGCTTTAAGAGAGTGATAACGAACAAAACAGTTGTCCTGAGCTTCTAACCCATCATGCCCCCCAAATTAACCCCCAAGAAGCAAAAAGAAATGGCAGCTGCTATTGTGGTGACAGTTTTATGCTATATAAACTATGGTATAGCTGTTTACACCTCTCCTTACTATGCCAAAGTCCAGTATCACAATTCAGCACTGTCTGGACATGCTTGGCTACAGGAACTACTGCTTGGACACCCTGACCGCATTCACATGGAGCTAGGTGTCCGCCATCATGTATTTTGGGCTCTATGTCTTGAACTCCGTCTTTTTGGGGCTGAGGATACACCACACATCACTCTTGAAGAATCTCTTGCCATCTTTCTCTACCTCATCCGGACAGGATTGAGTGTACACCATGTTGGAGAGCGATTCCAACACACTGGCACAACTATATCCATGTATGCTCATTGCTTCAAT